TTTTTTTTTTTTTTTTTTTTTTTTTTTGATTTTTAGAATTAAGAATGAAAATAAAAGTGATATTTACGCACAAAAACAATGGTTCAGCGGGTATTACATTGTCTTCAGAATGTGCCGTAATAAATCAACGGAGTGTATACAATTCAATACAAATTCCTTTGTTCTTTCGTTGTTTTCATTTAATTCATCTTTTATTTCAGTATCCCAAAGATGTGAAATCTTTTGATAGCTGTAAGTTAGAAAAGAGAACAAAAACACAAGCACAAATATACACGCAACAAAAAACTAATGAGAAATAAGTTAAAAATCACTCAACTATTCAAGAGGCACGGGGTAAAGGCAGTTGTTGGACAAAATAAAATGCAGAAATGATGACAATCAAATGCATTACAATCACAGCATTAAAATCAAGAAGAAATGAAAGAAAAATAAAAACAAGAAAAAAAAATGTGTGAAAAAAAACACCGTTTTTTGAAAGAAATGAACAAACGTTTTTAAAGTGGAAAAAAAAAAAGAAAAGATGAAAAAATGAAAATGCGTATGCATTTGTTTAAAAAATATACCCGCAACAAGTATCACATCTAAAGATTTAAATCCAAAAGAAAGAAGAAAAAAAAACAAAACAAAACACATCTTATCAAAAATAATCGCTATATACAACAAATTGAATAAAAATACAAAATACTGAAACTATTGAATATCGGTTCGCAGTACAGTAAGCAAGAAATATAAAATTTATAAATTTTTTTCAAATTTATAAATTGTTGTTGTAATTGTTTCTACAAAAATAATACAGCAAACTAAACTTTGCTATTATCTGACCAGTCTGGCTTTCATCATTTACAGCTAAATGCTAGAAAGACTAAGAATTCAACCTCAATGTTATCATATTTGGTTGTCTGTGCAGTTGCTGTCTGTACCGTCTCCGCTCTGTTCACAGATCAAATAATTTTTTGCTTCGAGCTTAGTAGTTATTATTAAATTTTTTACTTTTTGTTTTTTACACATTAAAGTATCAAAAAAAAAAATGATGAAAACAAAATTATTACAAATTAGAAAATAAATTTTTACTAACTACGGTATGGCTTAACTGTGTTAGGCCACTGACTAGAAGAGAACTTAATCTGATATAGCAAGACAGATGCTTAAATTTGCAACTACGTTTTGCTTTTGTAGACAATAATTGTTGTTTTTTTGTCTTCTTTTTTTTTTTTGATTCTGTTTTAAATGAATTCATGTTTACAACAGTGATGTTTCTGAAACGATGGTTGATAACAGCCAGACGGTCGAAGTGGACATATGAAACATCGTGCCAACGGAAAGATACAACGTGTTATGACAATGTATGCAATTATTATGATGAAACAATACAGCAAAAAGTTTCCACTAACCATAATAAGTTTACTCAACGAAAATGCTCCGTCGACCCAATTAAGCGGATTTAAATTTGTTAAAAATCCAGCTACTGATATTTTATTGCAGTCAGGACAATGTCCAGTAACTTCTCGCCAACTATTTTCCAGTAGATTAATCTAAATTTTCTTTCAATTATCGGTTAATGCAATTAAGAACAGCAAACAATAAATCAGTGTTATTGACAGCAATTGAAATTGATATT